GAGGTTTCTACAAAAAGTGGAGCTCTGTTACAAAGTGTAGAAGCCTATATCATTTGGATCCAAAGCTCAAACACCAGCCAGTGCAGAAAGAGGATTTTGTCAGTTGTGCATGGGTATGAGAGGATCTGCATATTTTTCAACGTGAGCAAACTTCATGGTGGGAATGATCATTATTCACTGCAGGAGATCTATTAAAAGAAAATGTGTGAAACTCCAGAATTTGGTGTTTTGGAGTTAAGATTTCACTCTTAAGTATAGCAAAGGGCAGCACAGTGGTTCAATGGTTAGCACTGCAGCCTCACAGCGCCAGAGATCTGGGTTCGATTCCACCCTCGGGTGACTGTCTGTGTGGAGTTTGCACATTCTCCCTGTGTCTGCGTGGGTTTCCTCCGGGTGCTCCGGTTTCCTCCCACAGTCCAAAGACGAGCAGGTTCAGGGTATTGGCCATGCTAAATTGCCCTTGGTATCCAGGGATGTGCTTGTTAAGTAGATTATCCATGGGAAATGCAGAGTTAAAGGGATAGGGCAGGGGGTTGGGATGCCCTTAGGAGGGTCGGTAAGGATTCAATGGGCCAAATGGCCTGCTTCTACACTGTAGGGATTCTATGATTCACAGATGGGAAGTGGCGCTGGCAGATACCCAATCTCCATTGTTGCCACAGGAGAAACATGAGAGGAAAAAATCCAGGGATAAAAATCCTTCGGCTAGTGAATCCAACACCAGCAAACCTGAACTGAACCAACTTAGCAGTGAAACCAGGATGAAAAGTGATACAGATGCTCTATCAGCAAGGGGTGACCTGAGAGGATAGAGCAAGTACAGCCAGAAATATAATGGTTTTGGGCCATGCAAATAATATACAGGGGAACTGAGATTCAAAATGACCCAAATCTGAGGGATACACTAAGGAAAAGACATTGCCTATGTGTTCTACATCACTGAAGCAGAGGGTCCCGATTCCTGGCCTTGAATAACTGCTCCTAAGGTCATAGAGATCTACAGCACAGAAAAAGGCCCTACAGCTCATCATTTCCACGCGAGTCAAAAACAACCGCCTGCCTATTCTAATCCCATTTTCCAGCACTTGACCCATAATATTGTGTGCCTTGGCATTGCACATGCATACCTAAATACTTCTTAAATATTATGAGGGTTTCTGCCTCTACCACCCTTATAGGCAGTGAGTTCCAGATTCGCACCACCCTTTGGGTGAAAACATCCTCTCTAAATCTTCTGCCCCTTAGCTTTAATCTATATCCCCTGGTCATTGGCCCCCTCCACTAAGGGGAAAAGTTTCTTCCTATCTACCCTATCTATGTCTGTAATAATCTTGAACATCTCAATCATATCCCTTCTCAATATGCTCTGCTCTAGGGAAAACAAGCCCGTCACAAGAGTAATACAGCAGCGAAACAGACCCTACAGTCCAATCTGTCCATGCCAACCAGGTTTCCTAAACTGAACCAGTCCTATTTGCCATTTGGCCCACATCCCTCTAAACCCTCCCTATTCACGGACCTGTCCAAATGTCTTTTAAATGTTGTAATTGTACCCACCTCCACCATTTCCTCTGGCAGTTCATTCTGTACCCGCACTACCCACTGTGTGAAAAAGTTGCTCCTGAGGTCCCTTTTAAATCTTTCCCTTCTCACCTTAAACATATGGCCTCTAGTTTTGGACACCCCTCCCTTAGGAAAAAATTCTTGGCTATTTACTTTATCTATGGCCCTCATGAATTTATAAACTTCTATCAGGTCATTTAACCAATTTCTGACATGACTGTGTCCTCATGGCCTGGATTTCTGCTGTTAAGGTGGGTAACCCACATGTCATGCTTTTCACTCCATGAATGAGAGCTGTGGGGAAGAATTAGGCCTGAGACTGAGCAGAGGCAGCCACAGGGATGGTTGAGGGTTAAGATGGGATTGTTAATCATCTAAGTCATCTGGAGCTTCTGTCCCATTTGCAGTAAAACCTGTTAGGTATTTGGCTCCTCATCCAATCACTATTACCCCTTTTACCCTCCATGCTAACTCAGTGTATTCTCACAAACCCCTACCCACCTCCCAATTACCCCCTCAAATGCACCATGCAAAATGACATCCTTTCAATACTCATTCTGCCACTATAGACTCTGAATAGAACCTTATTGTCACAATTTCAGTGGAAAAAAGTTTCACAAATCTTCTTTTGAAGATAGAAACTGTTGTTCCTGCAATCCTGTAAAAGCATCAATCAAACAGGCCAGGAAAATAACAAAAAGAGAGAGGCTTCGAATACTACACCATCTTAATCTTCTGCAAATAAACATTGAGACACTAGCAAAAGAGGTTCCACAAAGAACAGACAATTAGAACCGTCAGTCAGGAGACCTGGGCTTAACTTGAAGTCTGGTTCCATTGTTGTACCCTTCCATCTGGGAATGGTTACCGTGCCTTGCTGGGACAAGAGGGCTGCTGGCCAGGGAGACGATGGCCTAGTGGTATTATCACTGGACTGTTAATCCAGAGACCCAGATAATGTCCTGGGGACCTGGGTTCGAATCCCGCCACGGCAGATGGTAGAATTTGAACTGAATAAATATCTGGAATTGAGGGTCTAATGATGACCGTGATTGTTGATTGTTGGGGAAAAACCAATCTGGTTCACTAATGCCCTTTAGGGGAAGGAAACTACCATCCGTACCTAGTCTGGCCTACATGTGACTCTAGATCCACAGCAATGTGGTTGACACTTAACTGCCCTCTGGGCAATTAGGGATTGCCTGGCCAGCGATGCCCACATCCTGTGAATGAATAAAGAGGGGAAAAAGATTGGTTAGCAACTTCTGGAGATGGGACTCTCTCCCAGATGGGGGCAGAGGGCATGTCTCAAGTCAATGCTTAGCTCAGCGGCAATTCACTGGCTGTCGACCAAGAGAGGCAGGCTTACCCTGATATCTGCATTAATCCAATGTCTATCCTCTACTCATGACTTCATACTTCATTCCAAAGTATATATTGTTCATGTGTAGGTCTATGATGCATTACTGAGGTAACTATCCATTGAAAGGGCAACAGATCCCAGATAAGTCTTACATTCCCCCTGTTTGCATATTGGCCAACTCAATTGGCCATCAGAGAGTATTTCAATCCTGGAGCACTTAACCAAAGTATTGCGTCTGAAAAACAACACTGCCAACCCTGGGACAGTTCTTGTATGTTCCTCATTAGATAACAAAAATATTTGATGAATGGGTGGAGCGGCAGGGTGTAATGATGACATGGAAGCTGGAGGTGGAGGATTCCCTGCCCTTTCTTCATAAAAATGTATAAAGCACAGAGGCTCATTCCGAGAGGGATAAAATTGAAAAAGCACGGAAGTTCAATTGCATAGGACCTTGGATAGATGATTCTTGGTGTACTGAGAGCTGGTTTGGTCTCCACGTCACAGAAAGAATATGGAGAAAGTGCCGAAGGGGCAAAGAACGATTTGTGAGGATAGCATCCAAGCTGAAAGGTTATAACTAGCAAGATGCAGGTCTATTCTTTTAGGAAAGAGAAGGCTTAGTGGTGACCTAAATGTAAAAAAAATAACATTATGGGTTTGTTAGGCCTGAATCATGTTGCAGGGAATAAATATAAGCTAATAAAAGTGTTGAGGAATCCAGGAGATAACCATTGATCCTGCGAGTGGTGAGAATGTGGAGTTTATGTAAATATCATAGATTGATTCAAGGGGAAGTTAGAGCAGAGCAAAGTGTGCAGAGGACTGTGAAACTTTGCAGAGGAACATAGATACATTGAGTGAGTGGGCAAAGGTCTGGCAGATGGAATACAATGTAAATAAATGTGAAGTCATACATTTTGGTAGGAGTAATAGTAAAAAGGATTATTACTTGAATGGTAAAAAGTTGCAGCATGCTGCTATGCAGAGGAACCTAGGTGTCCTTGTGCATGAATCACAGAAGGTAGGTCTGCAGGTACAACAAGTAATTAGGAAGGCAAATGGAATTTTGTCCTTCATTGCTAAGGGGATTGAGATTAAAAGCAGAGAGGTTATGTTGCAGCTGTACAAGGTGCTGGTGAGGCCACACCTGGAGTACTGTGAGCAGTTTTGGTCTCCTTACTTGAGAAAGGACGTACTGGCACTGGAGGGGGTGCAAAGGAGGTTCACTAGGTTGATTCCCGAGTTGAGGGGGTTGGCTTATGAGGAGAGACTGAGTAGATTGGAATTATATTCATTGGAATTTGGAAGATTGAGGGGGGATCTTATAGAAACATATAAAATTATGAAGGGAATAAATAAGATAGAAGTGGAGAGGATGTTTCCACTGGCAGGTGAAGCTAGGACAAGAGGGCATAGCCTCAAGATTAGAGGGAGCAGATTTAGGACTGAATTGAGAAGGAACTTCTTCACCCAGAGGGTTGTTAATCTATGGAATTCCTTGCCCAGTGAAGTAGTTGACGCTACTTCATTAAGCTTTTTTAAAGATAAGGTAGATTTTTTTTGAACAATAAAGGAATTAAGGGATACGGTGAGAACACGGGTAAGTGGATCTGAGTCCACGAAAAGATCAGCCATGATCTTATTGAATGGCGGAGCAGGCTTGAAGGGCCGGACGGCCTACTCCTGCTCCTAGTTCTTATGTTCTAAATACATGAGGGAGACAGGAGCAGAAGATATGATGGTATGTGTGGATGCAATAAAATGGGAGGAGGCTCACATGAGACACAGGTAGTTCTGCGTAACACATGTTTTGTTAATGCAAATTGGCTGTAACACTGCAAGGATAATGCAAACTTTCTGCTGTACAGGTGTAGCGATTTTCTATAGTGATTTCCCTATAACGCCATGTTCTATGGCGATTTTCTATAGTGTGAGGTCGTACAAGAATACAACTATAGCGTCACAGGAGATATACCTGTATGTCACGTTAGAACGGCGGTAAATTTCACAATTATTTGATATAGAGACAAGAAATAAGACAATCAAAAGTCACATCTTATAACTTGCAGAAATTTATTGCATGTTGACACAACATGGGGCCTACTGACAGCTACAAGGCCTAAACCAGTAAGAATTCTAAATCTTTTATAAACTCTCATTACAAAGTTAGTCAATAAACATTGTTAGCCACTGTGTTGAGCTGAGATCTGTTGAAGTTGACTGTAAGTCACCTTTTCACACAGGTACATGGGGTACATTGTCTCATGCACCGTCAGAAGTGAGCCTGGAAGTAACAGAGCAACATTAATGTACAGTTACTTGGTAGGTCAGAATTCAAAACTTACTGAGAGACATGTTGCTGAAGCTTTTCTTCTTGCACGGCAAACGTTTGAGTGCCAAATTTCAATTAATCACAACCATTCATACAACATATTTTAAATTTGGCATTCTTGTGTTTACCCTGAATGCCAAATTTTAAATCTGTTGTATAAATTATCATGAGAAATTGAAACCTGGTACTCTTGCATTTGTCCTGATGAGTGCAAGAGAAACAATTTTGTAACACATTCCTCTTTTCAGTAAAATAACAAGCTTGGCTCATTCAGAGTCAAATTCCCCTATTTTATCATGGACTATCTAAACCCTTTGAAATAAATGAGTTAGCTCCTCCAGGAACAGAGCAAGGAGTAGAAATTGATCCTAAATGTTTCATAGTTAAAGGCATGTCCAGAATTAGGGGTCACAGTGTTAACATTTGAGTTTGGCCATTCAGAGGTGATGTCAAGAAGTGCTCCATCGCACAAAGAGTCATTAAAAACCTGGGGGAGAGAGATGTAAAAACCTGGAACTCTTTTCCCAAAGGAACTGAAAGTCTTCAAGCTAAGCTCAATACATTTTCATTAGGGAACGGCATTAAACATTATGGGATCAAGATGGATAAATGGAGTTTAGATTTAGATGAGCCATGATGTAAATTAGTGGCAGAACAGGCTCAAAGAGTTGAATAGCCCACTCCTATTTCAATGTTTCCCATCCACGGATAAAGGAAATTTATAATATTACATTAAATTGAGAGGGTTAGACAAACTGACACAGTCCAAACTGGTGAGAGGCAGATTTAGATATTACATCAGGAAACTCTCTCCAGAACAAAAACTGGAAGGAAAACTCCTGGGCTCAGTGGTCAGCCAGTTAGATGCCACAATGAGGGAATGTAGGATCTTCTGGATCAACGAAGTGAGTGGAATGGCTTCTCCTTGTCTGTAATTAAACAGGAAAACGGGATGAGTTCCTTACTCCCAGTAACTCCCTAGCTCAAGGCTCACACTTAGAAAAATCTGCCCTCATGTATTAACCATCTGTAAAATAGCTCAGTGAGTTACCATAACCCTCAAATAGAATGCTGGAAAATCTGGCTGCCCTCGGTAGGGCTGCTGGATGTATGTGAGGAATGGTCATAAACCTGAGGCTCACAAAAGAACAAGTTTAAAATACAGACATTGGCTTTGAAATAAAAGTTCTTCCAACTAAAAATAAAAATTTTGTCAAAACGTATTCTGACACCAGCAACATTATGTGTAAAATGTCAAAAGTCAAACATCATTAAAACATCATTGCAGCAACAAAAAAATCTTCGCCATTACTCTTCCTTGAATTTTGCATGCAAGTAAATGCATCATTCCCCTTCTGTATCCACTACAGCAGCTCAGGCCCCTGGAATTGTACTTTATTCAGTGGAGTGTTCAGCCTAGTTACATGTGGAATCACAGTTTCAATTCCAAGTGCACATACTTCTTAAAAGTCTGCATCGACAGAAATATCAGAAGCAATTCAAGCTGCAAAGAGCTTAAAGTTTCAGAAACATAAACGAAGACAGCATGAATGAGAGGAGGCTATTAACTAATCATGCAATCTTGTTATTATCCACATGCTACACTTAAAATGTTAACAATCAAAGAGTGATTGCGTCATTCACAAGAAAAAAATTTGTGCCCAATAGCTGGACATCCATCTCACACGTACGTAGGTCCACAATTGATTTCAATGTATGCAACAGAGTTTCTACAAAGTGAACTAAATACAACAGCTTTTTTCTGATTTACAAAACTAATGCATTACAACGACTAAAGCTCCATTGTCCTATAATGAACACCTTGATAAGGAGATCACTAATGTATATGTGTGCAAAAGTCAGTCGCTATTGACTTGTATTTCTGTTGTGAAACTGACTGAACCAGTAATTGTTAAAGTATGCGATAATCTACTAAAACCGAAGGGCAAACATCAAAAACTATAAATACATTTGATCTACATATTTTTGAAGAAATGTTTGAGAAACCAAAAATAAAACTATTAATCTGAAGCTACGATAATAGCACCAAGAAAAGCTACGAGTCCAATAAAAGATTCATCTAAGGGATCATGAAAAAGCTAACAATTCACTCTTATACAATGTTGATCCAGCATTGTTGCACGTAAAAAAGGGGCCAGTTGCCTTGATATGACTGGAATGGGTACCATAATAAAGGTCAGGGTTCATAGACTGTGAGCAACCGTAATGTAAATTAACTGGATTACAATGACAAAGATCTGTTGATTCAAATTTATCCTCTATCCTTTTATTCAGACTTGTGTCCCTTTCCATTGACTGATGGGAGAATAATTAAGGCAGCCAGTAATCAGATACAAACCTGAGGTAGCCAAATATGAAATCAGGTGAAATCAAATCTGCTATTCGTGATAAAGGAACAGGCCAGCTAGCAGAAATATTCTCACAGTGCAACGAAACCTTGCTGCACATTTGGCTTATACACATACTGCGCACACAGCACACACAACATTGCCCCTTTTAAAAGATCAAGAAACAATAAATATCAACGCACAGAAATGGTGGTTGGCACCTTAAAAATACTGGGATCCCAAATGGAAACCTTTGGGCCTCACTGAGGGAGTTGCAGTTCCTATGTTAACAGGCAGCTACAACAGTAATAGGAGGCAAAGACAAGGAGAATCAAGGTTTTCTTCTACCTTTTCAACTACATTACAAAGGTTAAAGACAGCCCTGTTTTACAAGGTAAATCAGCAAAACCTTACAGAATATGCAATTCTTCCACTAGGGTTCTACAAGATCTATTCTAAAGCCTTCAAAAAACATATGCGGAGTTTTGACAGGGTAATCAATGACAGTTTGCTACAGCATTTCATAGACAACACATTCACAGATACCCACTTAACACCTGCTATCTGTGTTAAGATTAATATATCCACACCGCTGGATTTGCAACACGCACAGACAGATCTTTCACTTTCTTTAAACACATTGGTCACAATTGACTGCTGTACTTTTTACATTTAAACATAGGGGCTCCCACTTCTCTGTTTTCACAGGTTTGCCCCACTCTGGAAATTAAGGTCCGGGCCGGGTTAGATCCGTCCTTCCAACCTTTCATCCATTTCTGCCTTGCAATGAACATACAGGAAACTGCTTTCATAGAGTGGGATTGACCTTTGCCCTGTAAGGGAAGCATTCTTTTCTAACCAATGGTCAAACTCCAGCTGGCTGAATACAACTGAACGACATCAAAGTAGGAAAGGGGATGGCTGGTTCTGGGATGAAACTACAGCAATCTTAAACCAACAACTGGAATAAACTTGTGCCGATCTGAATTCAATGTCCAACAGCATACAATCCCTTCCAATTGCAACTGAGGTTGAAAGTCCCCTTGATTGGCAACATGGCATTGACACTAACCAATAGTAACTGTCTAAGTGCGAAGATTGCAATGGAATCCTGCTGTTCATTGAGTTCACCCCCTTTTGCATTATGAAGTGAACTCAGTTAACTTTATTCTCCTTACTAATATACAAAAAGCATTAACAAATTTTGCAAATTCAAAACCTGTTTCCTAAATTCGACACATTCTCCAGAAAAATATCCAGGCAAAAGTATTTGCCAGGGCCAGTGTCAGTATTGTCCCAAACTTGCAGAGCTAGTTGTCACAACACTACACCTTGAAAACTGTGACAATGAGCCCCAAATAGTTTTCCCAGCTGGAGATAGAACACAAGTCTCCAGGAGTTCTATTTTCCCAAGATTTGACATGAACTTGTTTCAAACAAAACATCAATCTGACACCAAAATGTTGCCAAGAGAAAATTCAGCATTGGAAACAGTTTTAAACCTGAGTTAGAAAAAACATGGACGACAGACGTTTCTCTTTCCTGGTATCCCATTCCCCAAGCCTCTCTGAACCAGAAAACAGAGGCAAGATTCTCACAACAGCAAAGCAGAAAAGTCAGATCTGTCTCGCAAATCGATGGCAACGATATGAAACATTCTTGCCTGAAAGGCAATTTTCTGAAAATCTCATACTATTGCTACTTGCAAAAAGTAAATTTGTGTGATTCATTCAACATGGCTCTGGTTACTTGGCTGTGGGGAGCACAGTATCACATTCACCAGCAATCCCTTGGGCTGAATTTCCATCCAATGAGTTTCCAAGCTAGCACTAAAAACCTGCCCATCCCGCACATGAGACACTTAAAACTAAAATCTTCTGTTTAAAGATTCAAGCCCAAGGATATGCAACCAAATAAAGACCTTCTATGCTGTATAGTCTATAATGTAAATGTGTGCATTCAATTGCTGTCAGTGTTGTGTAAGTCTTTACTCCAATTGAACTTTTGTCAATATTTATATGTTCAATGGAATCCTCAAAATAGGAGAAATAGCTATCCTCACTGACATTTTGCATCGACCACAGCATAGGAAGGGAAAGAAAATGACAACGGAGAGATGCAACAAAGTTAAAAGACAAACACAGGAGATGGAAACCTATTCTGTATCTACAAAGTTAAGGCAAAAAAAAACTGATTGAGATTGAGATTGTTTATGTAGCTCTGGAAAAAAACCGCACTCGGTTTAAAAATGTATGAAGCTAATTGCTTTGCACAGGGGCTTGCAAAAAGAATCGAACAAAAGTGAGTAAGGAACTGCTAGGAATCTGTTTATGGAGTTGACCAGGTCTACTAGTCCAGATCCAATATAATTCATAGACAAATCCTAGGACAAAAGAGATCTTGTTATCAGCTGCTTCCATAGGAATCTTTAAACAGCAATTAAGACAATATTTACAGGCAACCTTTTATAAAACTAAGCCTCTGGAGGCCTACGCATTCATTAACCGTGGATGTGCCTACCAACTGGCATAAATTGAGACAGTCCATCAACTCTATCAGTCTCTCTATACTCTGTTCAACATGATAGTCCATGCACAGTGCAGGTGAAATGTTGGAAGTAGACGTCAGTACAGATCTAGATCACTCTGACACTTATTTCAGTAAATGCATTCACAGTTTATGGCAATGGAGAGAGGATGGTCTGGTTTCACGTTCGGTTGCTATGTCTCTCGGATGATATGGGTCGATATCAAAATGAAACGTCTGTACATGTCAACAGATTTACCCTGCAAGGGCTATGTCTGAAACCTGTATGTTATGCCCCTCCACGCTTCTGCAATTCACTGCTTTGTATTCTCCTCACATTTGCCAATCTGCATCTTTAATATGCCACTTTTATGCAAGAGCCAGAGTTGCAGGAACTCCTCTGGCATGGCATGGTAGCCCGAAAAAGGCATCACGTTGTCATAGTAGTGGTGGCTAATTATCCTCCCGTGCAGGTCCATTGAAAAGGGCCAAAAACCATAAAGGGTCACATCTTCACAGAGGCCCAAGGCAACGCTGACAAGGAATAGGCCCGTGGACAAGCGTTTGGCATGGATTCCCTTGCCCTTCCAGAACTTCTCGACATTGCGCAAAAAATCCGGATTGGCAAAGAGTATGGTTTGGTTGGCACTGAAATCAGACAATGTGTAGTAGGTGCGGAAGGAAGGATCTGTCCCTGTCTTCATGGAAAAGGCAGGCATGTAAATGTAGCTATGGCCATACACTTTCATACTTTCCACAAAGGATTTCCTGGACCACAGAAGGTTCTGAAATCTGGAAGAAAATAAAAGAAAAATTAAATTTTTACTTCTATCCGTCAGCTTCTGATGGAAGTTCTCTTAAACTATCAATCTTACAAATAGCAAACACTTCACTCTTGGTAGAACACCAATTTATTGCATCATGGGTTACCCAACTTTATTGTTTCCAGATATTTTATGGTTTATTGAAAGGTATGAACAGTTCAATGCAGTGAGCTACTGAACTGACCTTTCACCTCTGGATGAAGATTTCCTATCTCATCTAACTGCAAAGCTGGATACAGTGAACGTTTAAGTAAGCATTTCATAAGTCTCATTGAGCATGCATACTACTGAGCAGTCCATAGGAAAACTGATCCATCTGGGGCTAACTAAGAGATTAAGGATAGTATTAAATGAAAAGGACGGGCTTGTAGCCCTGCCAAGGCAATTAGTAAGTCTGTGGATTGGCAACATTCTCAAAAGCAGCGATTTGATAGAATGAGACATCAGAAGGGCACTAACCAGCAACAAATATTGAGACAAGTAGTTGTAATGGCTACAAGTATCTTAGACAGATGGGAGCAGCAAAAGTAAATTTGGGTCGCTTAGTGCTAGGGACAAAAGAAATTTTTACAGGCAACCATCATGTGACTATGTCACATAAACCCACATCCCCCCAGCCCCGACCCCGACCCCTGATCCCACCCCACCCTGGGCCTGTCTGCAGCCTATCACAATACACTACATGCATTTCCTCCAATGCCTCTCCACTGTCATCCAGCTAGGTGAAGTTGCCCCCATATGATTTCCATCCTTATCTGTTTCATTGTGGTCAGTAAATCACTTGCAAAGGCTTTTCTTCCTGCTCCCACGCCATTACCTCTGCTAATCCCTTGACCTCCTCCAATTTCTAATCTGCTTACAGCCTCTCAGTGACAACATCTAACAGTACAGTGTTAGTTGGCACATGTGCAATGGTGACCCAACTCTACCTCACCATCACCTTTCAGAACTCCTCCGCCGATGTTAAATTATCAGGCTGCTTACCTGACATCTACTACTGAGTAAACAAATATCCCCATCAGCCACACATTGGAAAAACTGATGCTACTATTTTTAGATCCCAAACCGAACTTTGCTCTTTAGCTTTCAGTCCATCACTCTCCCTGGCAACAGTCTGAGATTAAACAGTCTATTCACAAGCTCAGTGTCCTAGTTGATTCCAGAATAAGATTCTGATCTCAATTTTGTGCCATCGCTAAGGCTGTCTTTTTCCATTTCTGCAAGGTCGCCCAAACTCACAAAGCGAGAGGAAGCCCAGCATGGACTCCCAGCCTCGAGGTAAGGCCCAGCACAGACTCCTGGCCTCAAGTTGAGGCCCAGCACAGACTCCCGGCCTTGAGGTGAGGCCCAACACAGACTCCCGGCCTCGAGCTGAGGCCCAGTGCAGACTCCTGGCCTCAAGGTGAGGCCCAGTGCAGACTCCTGGCCTCGAGGTGAGGCCCAGCACAGACTCCTGGCCTCAAGGTGAGGCCCAGCACAGACTCCCGGCCTCGAGGTGAGGCCAAGTGCAGACTCCCATCCTCGAGGTGAGGCCCAATACTGGCCTGAGTTGAAGCCAAGTGTGGACTCATCTGCTCCATCTGCTTTTATTTTTTTTCTCTTCTTCTGTCTTTAGAAGGACCATAATGCTGAACTTTTAAGTTTATTTCTGATTTAAACCTAAGATTTTGTACCTATGAACCTTTATACCAGAGATGGTGCTGGGAATGGCAATTTTACATACTTTTCACTGTGCTGCTAAATCTAATTCTAATTCTGTATTAGCTCATCCACTGCTGAAACTCTCAGTTGTGCCTTTGTTTCATTTAGACCAGACTATTCCATGAAACTGTTGGCTAGCTTCCCATATGTTTCTTTTCTGTGTAAAACTAAAGTAATCAAAAAGTCAATTTTAAAAACCAAATAAAAACCAAAAGAACCGCAGATGCTGTAAATCAGAAACTCAGACTTGAGGAAGGGTCACCGGACCCGAAACGTTAACTCCGTTTTCTCTTTACAGATGCAGCCAGACCTGCTGAGTTTTTCCAGCAACTTCTGTTTTTGTTCCTCAGTTTTAAAATACTGATCCGTTTTTAAGTTTTTGCGTCCTGCTCTCCCCACATCTCCGTAATCTTCTCCAAACAACAGCCCTCTGCATCTGGTCTCCTGTACATCTCCACGTTTAATGTATTTTTAAAATTCATTCACAGGATGAAAGTGTGTCTGGCTATGTTGGCATTTATTGGCCCAGAGGGCAATTAAGAGTCAACCACATTGCTGTGGATCTGGAGTCTCATGTCGGCCAGAACAGGTAGGAATGGCAGTTTCCTTCCCTAAAGTCTTTAGGGAACCAGATGGGTTTTTCCCCAACAATCGGCAATGGATTCATGGTCATTATCAGACTCTTAATTCCATATTTTTCCATTGAATTCAAATTCCACAACCTGCTGTGGCAGCATTTGAACTCAGGTCCCTAGAGCATAATCTGGGTCTCTGGATTAAAAGTCCCGTGATAATACCAATCAGCCATCACCTCTCCTTCGCACTACTGGTTGCCTGGGTTCCAGGTTTTGGAATTCCCTCCCAACACCTCGCTGCCTCTCCACCTTTTTGATCCAAGATCGCAGCAGAGCAGGACGCTCCATCTGGAGCTCGTCTGCTCCGTCCATGCCTTTACATTTGCTCTCTCTTTCTATTCTCTCTGTCTTTTTCCTCTTCTGTGGAGGAGAGGGCTCAGTGGCCCAGAGTGAAGATGGCTACTGGCTGGGAAACAGTGGAACCAGGCCAGACCATGTGGGAGCCCTTCTAGAAAGACTGTATCTATCATTTTAGCTTTATTTCTTATTTTCCTAACTTACACTATGTATATCTGTAATGTAGTGTAACTTTTTTTCCTTATTTTATCTATTTTTTGTACCCAAGATTTATACCTTGGTACTTTGTATCTAAGATGGCACTGTGTGATGGTGACATTGTATGTTTTTCACTGTACTCCTGTTCTTTTGTAACTTGAGTACATGTGACAATAAACCTAATTCTAACTTTGCTTTTCTCCTTTAGGACACCTTAAAACCTAACTTTCCAGCCAAGCTTTAGGTAATCTCATCTACTGTCTCCTTTTCTGGCTCATTGTCGTTTGTTTCCTGTGATGTCCCTTGGGTACATTTTATAGCCTTAAAGGTGCTACTTACATATAAGTTTACTGCTGTTGCTGCTGTTAGGAAATTACAAAACGCCTTCACAGTAGAAAGGACAAAAATCTACCAGAAATAGTGGATCAGTCTAAAAGCTGGAGTGATTTAAGATAATATCAATTAAGAACAAGTGTTGGAGAAATTAATTGGGCTAAAATTCAGCAAATTCCCTGTGTCAAACAGCCCATATCCTAAGCCTTCCAAAGGAGTAGCTGCAGATATACTGGATGCAATGGTTCTAACTTTCCCAAATTCCTCAAATTCTGAAAAGATTGCAAGTTAGCAAAAGCTCGACCACTTTTTGAGAAAGGAGGCAGACAGAAAACAACAGGTCAGTTAGTCCACTTATCAGTTATTAAGGAAAGGCTTTTTTTTAAACTCATTCATGGGATGAGGGTGCTCCTGGCTAGGCGAGCATTATTGCCCAGAGGGCAGTTAAGAGTCAACCACATTACTGTGAGTCTGGAGTCACATGTAGTCCAGACCAGGTAAAGATGGCAGTTTCCTTCCCTAAAGGATATTAGTGAACCGGACAGGTTTTTCCCCTGTCAATTGGCAATGGAGTCACGGTCATTGTTAGACTCTTAATTCCACATTTTTATTGAATTCAAATTCCACCATCTGCTGTGGAGGGATTTGAACCGTGGTCCTCAGAACATTAGAGATAACAAGGTGTAGAGCTGGATGAACACAGCAGGCCAAGCAGCATCAGAGGAGCAGGAAGGCTGACGTTTCGGGCCTAGACCCTTCTTCAGAAATGGATGCAACTCTGCCCACCACCGCCGACATAACTCCGCCCACAGCTGACGCCGCACAGCCCACCACCGCCGTCGCTCCGCCCACCGCCTCCACAGCCAGCAGCTCCAGAGGAGACAGCAACACCCAGCCCTGCCGAGTCTTCACCATCCCCCCAGACCTCCCCCTTACTGAGGACCAACGGTCAGTCCTCAGTAAAGGGCTCACCTTTGTCCCCCTCCACCCACACATCAACGAATACCGGTCACGTTTGGACATTCAGCAGTTTTTCCGCCGCCTCTACCTCCGCGCTTTTTCAACCGTGAGCCTAACCCTCCCTCTACTGACCCCTTCTCCCGGCTCCAACACACCCCCTCCTCCTGGACACCACCCAAAGGCCTCCTACCCTCCCTTGACCTCTTCATCTCCAACTGCCGTCAAGACATCAATCGCCTCAACCTCTCCACCCCTCTCACCCACTCCAACCTCTCCCCCACAGAATGTGCAGCCCTCCGCTCCAATCCCAACCTCACCATTAAACCCACGGACAAGGGAGGCGCAGTTGTAGTATGGCACACTGACCTCTACATCGCCGAGGCCAGGCGTCAACTCTCCGACACCTCCTCCTACTGCCCCCTTGATCATGACCCCACCCCCGAACACCAAACCATCATCTCCCAAATCATCCACAACCTCATCACCTCAGGTGACCTTCCACCCACAGCCTCCAACCTCATCATTCCCCAACCCCGCACCGCCCGCTTCTATCTCCTTCCCAAAATCCACAAACCTGACTGCCCTGGTTGACCCATTGTCTCCGCCTGCTCTTGCCCCACCGAACTTATCTCCACCTATCTCAGCTCCATTTTCTCCCCCTTGGTCCAGCAACTCCCCACCTACGTCCGTGACACCACCCACGCCCTCTACCTCCTCCAGAACTTCCAATTCCCCAGTCCCCAACACCTCATCTTTACCAATGGATGTCCAGTCCCTCTACACCTGCATTCCCCATACACATGGCCTAAAGGCCCTCTGCTTCTTCCTGTCCCGCAGGCCCGAC